CACACATAAATCGCAGTTTACACAAGTCAACAAGATCCGATCTGAATCACACATGAAGGGGCACACACATAACAACTTGCACATATAACACACACATACGCACACTTACAGACACGCAACACACACACACACACTCAAAACAGACACACTACAGGCACACACACACACACACACACACACACACGAAAAAAAAGCACACACCACATACACAGATAAGAGAAATAAAAAAACTTACACTTACGCACCAGACACGCCTTTAACAACATCCGGCGCTCTTGGCCTTCACACCTTAACAACATCGTAAATAAACCGCGCACAAACACACAAACACACTCATCAACAGCACTTACGAATGCCCTTATAGGAAAAAATAGGTTAAAAGAGAAGAAGATTTAAAAATCGGATAACCGGAATTAAGGTTTTCAACAGGAAATCATTAGATAAGAATAGGAGAACGACGATGAGAAGGAACTGACAGGGGAATAAATACACTGTGAATAGTAAAGGAGATAGATTAGATAGAAGATAGATTAGATAAACGGAGCAATAAGTGAATTAGGAAATTAGGTAAGATAAATATAAATTTATTAGAATATAGAAGAGAGAGACTGAGCGGAAGAAAGATTGAAAAGATATCCCCGCCGATTATTGTTGAGAATTACAAATAAAAAAGAGATATAATATAAGGAATATTCCCAAAGGGAAAAATAAATAACAAATAAAATATTAAAACTATGATATCTATCTCTAAGAAGATTAGAATGACAACGATAAGAGTGCTATTTCGAACAGGCGTCACATGAAAGCTATCGGATGGGAGAGAGGTATGTATTGATTTAATTAATCGGGATGCTATTAATGGATGAAAAACATTAATAATGATATTATTAATACTATAATTAGGAGGGCATGAGGAGAGGGTGAGCGAGGTGGGAAATTAAGGGCGAATAATCAGATGAGAAGAGGGTGAGGGAAAGAGAGGAGGGGGACGGGGTATGAGGAGAGGGTGAGGGCAGGGGGTCAGGGGGAGGGATGAGGAGAGGGGGAGAAGAGAGAGGGTGGGGAGTAATGAGGAATAGTATTGGGATGGATCGAATGCAGAGAGAGCGGGAGGAATAACCAATAATGATGATAGAGATTATCATTATAAAGGGCCCGATCGTTACTATGAGATGGAGAAAAAGGGCATCCTAAAAGTCTGAGAAAAATCCAAAAAAGTCCGAAAAAAGCGGGCGCAATCTAGCCAAAAAATACCAGCCTTCCTGCAGAGATACTCCCTGAAACCTTTTATCAGTTTAAATGATGATTATTGGATGATTTTATACATTATAAATTCTGTACATTAGCGATGCATTTATATGATAACATACCCGAAAGTCGAGGTAGAAGATGAAATGAGCCAAAGAGGATAATGACGGATTAATAAAATGGTGGGTATAAATTATGAGCATAAATTTGGGTGGCGGGAATTGAGGAGAGCAACGAAGTTGAAACCGAGTAGGACTGCCGTCCAGCTGAAGGTAGGGAAGGGTGCTGGGAGGATGATGGGTCGACGGGAGGGAGTGGGAAGGGAATTGCAGGAGAGGTGAGGGATTGAGGGTAAATGGGGATAGGTGCCTTTATAATGAGATCGATGTTCTTCTTCAGTAATCAATCACTTCGTTCTGACCGTCCCGCACATTGATACCTGGGAGTCGCCCGGGATCGCCGTCGGTCGCTGTCGGTTCCTGTCGGTTCCTGTCGGGAGAGTATCGCACCGATAGCGACCCCCACGACAGCGCATGGGGCCTTGGCTTGATCGGAACACAAATTGATGATTAATTAGAATGGTCTGGACCCCGTTTTCCGCCGCCGTGGCTGTATGCGCGGAGATAGGCTGAGTGGAGGCGGGGGAAGGGGCGGGGGATAGTAGGATGGGAGGAGAGGAGGGGGGGAGGGGGGAGAGGGAGCAGAGGGAGAGGGAGAGTGGGGGGGACAGAGGGAGAGGGAGAGGGGAAGAGGGAGAGAGGAGAGAGAGAGAGAGAGAGAGAGAGAGAGAGAAAGAGAGAGAGAGAGAGGTAGAGAGAGGAGAGAGAGAGAGAGAGAGAGAGAGAGAGGGAGATAGAGAGAGAAAGAGAGAGAGAGAAACGAAGCTATAAAACCAGAGAAAAAGAAAAAAAAAAAACGAAAGAAAACACGAAAAAGACAAAGAACCCCCAAAAAAAACAAAAAAAACGCCAAAAGAGATAAGAAGAACACAAGAAGCAAAGAACAGAGAGAGAGAGAGAGAAAGAGACAAAGCGGAGGGAGGGAGAAGAGAAAAGAGAGAGAAAAGAGTGAGCGTGTTTTTGTTCCCGGGTCGGATGAATGAGTCACGCTTATTTATTAGCGACTGATTACTTATGCGACGCTGCTGAGGTGTTGCAGCCGAGAGCGCCGGAAGAAGGGTCATGCTTGTGCTCGTAGGGGGTGGGATGGGGGGAGAAGGAGGGAGGGGGGCGAAGGGGGTGGGTGGGAAGAGGGAAGAAGGGGTTGGGGCGAGAGGAGAGGGGGTGAAGGTGGTGGGAAGAGGAAGAAGGGGTCGGGGGGGAGAAGAGGGGGGCAAAAGGGGGTGGAGAATAGGGGGGGGGGTGGGTGGGGGAAGATTGGGTGTTGGGGAGGTGGTGGGTGGGGAGAGGGGGAAGGGGGTGGAGGGAAGAGGGGGGAGGTGTGGAGCTGGGGAAGAAAGGGAAGTGGTGGGTGGGGAGAGGGAGAGGGGTGAAAGGGGGTGAGGTAAGAGGGGGAGTTGAGGTGGAAGGGAGAGAGGGAGGGAGTAAAGTGTGAAAAGAAGGAGGGATGCGTGGAGGTTGCGATGGTGGGGCGAAGGTGGGCGAGTGCGGTGAGGGACAGCGAGAGCGTGGGGGGAGTGGAAGTGGTGGGGGGGAGAGA